TGTTTGTTGTTGCTCTTTTCACAATAGCTAAGAGATGGAAGCAATCTAAGTGCCCCTCAACTGATGAGTGGTTAACTAAAATGTGGTATATTTACACAATGGAGTTCTATTCTGCAGTAAAGAAAGATGAGATAATGAAATTTGCAGGTAAATGGATGGATCTAGAAACTGTTACACTAAGTGAAGTAACACAGACTCAGAAAAACAAACGACATATGTTTTCCCTAGTATGTGGATCCTAGCACCAAATCCTTTTAAATTCCAGGTCCTTTTAATAAGATGATGCTATACAGCAGTCCCTACTGCATGAAAAAAACTATCATCATCACAACTTCAGCTGAGCCTGATCACTAAACATAGTCACAATTGGGCTTGTTGACGATTGTGCTGATTTATTAAAGGAGGGTCAAGCAGGGTCATTGGACCCTCACCAGAGTGTCCAGCCACTCTTCCCAGCCAACTGTATGTAATTTGACCCTAATCACACACGGCCTCCTGGATTTGGGGAGGGCTAAATTATACAATCTGAGGAAGGCTAAGAAGAGAAGGCATGACCCATGCTGGGTAAAGGCTATCCAGTGCGCATACACCCTCAGGTCATACATACACCTCAGCAATCCCTCAGTTATCTCGGTAAGTAAGCTCAATAAATTCATTGGTTCCCCAGTAAAACTTTAATCCAACATTGGCTTGACACTAGAACCTTGAAAAGGAATAAGCATTGCTTAGCATCCCCAGGAAAAGAAGTCTCATAACAGATGGAAAATTTATTTGTTAATGCTATTACGTCTCATAATTATTTTTTTTTAAAAAAGAAAATGTGAATGTAAAAGATGTTAAAAGGATATTGGAATGGAGATATTTTCCAAAATAGACAGAAAAAATGAGAAAGCCTAAGCAAGTGATAAAGTCTGTTTAGGTTTGTTATGATATATAAAAGATGAGACAAAAATAATATACACAGAATCTTTCTGAGCACAAAGAGCAATGCTGGGGATATATAGCTAGTCAAGGTTTATCTGAGAATATTTGATTTTTTACCCAAGCCTTACGTACACAGCACATGATAATTAAAAGTACCAGACTGGTGGAACTAAACTTATTGAATGTTCTAACAGCCATAGTTTGAGGCCTATACTAATGTGGTCAGAGGGACAGTTTTTGCCCCTTGCCCTCCAAGGTCGGCTAAGTTCCAGGGGACTATGGGACATCTATCAAAATGTCCTGTAATTGTGGTGAGTCACCTGTCCTCTTATTCAGGGAGGACATGGAGACCCCACAAGATGGACTTGAACCAGTGTCCAGTCTACAAAGAGGAGGGTCAACTCAGAGGAAACATCTCATTCATACTTCCAAGTGGTCATGCAGGACGTTTAACTTACCTTCACATAGATGGAACTGGTAGAAGAAAGGAGCCAGGAGCTCCTCCCAAGCCCATGTGACCCCTGAGGAACAGATCCTCCAATGACCTTAAGTGTAAAAATAAATTGATTTATTTGGGCCAACTGTATGATCTTAAACACCCAAAAGGAAAGTATAACCAAAGAGTA